GTCATTATTATGACTTTAGAGTTGACATGACAAAAATRATCAGACTTTTTACTTGACTTGGACTTTTACACCAATGACTTGGGACTCCAATTGGACTTTATTTTTTTTTTACTGTTATTTAACCAGGCAAGTCCCGTTGAGATCGCAGATCTCTTTTTCAAGGGAGGCCTGGGCCTGAAGACAACCTATTGTACATGTTTTTGTGGGGTGGGGTAAATCAGCATACCCAGACAAAATCCACACAAGCACGAAGAGAACATGCAAACTAAGCACAGAAAGACCCCAGGTCCGAACCAGGGATCGAACCCAGGACCTTCTTGCTGTGAGGCGTAACCACTGAGCTGTTGTTCTGCCTTGAACCTGTTTACTTAAAAAGACTTGATATTTTACCCAAAATCTAAACTTTAATGCATATTATTTCTRGAGTAGGACACATTAATTCATTTCACTCATTCATTATTAACAAAGGCAGACAGTTTGTCTCTTTTTYACACTCTGTCAGCCGCAGTACAGCAAATCAAATTAACCAGATATTTAAAAAACAAACAATATAGCTAAGTTTAATTGAACTATGCAATATAGAGTTGCAATTTTAAAATGCACRTTTCATCAGAATTTGAGTTAACAGATTCAACAAAAGAACACATGCTCTATTATTTACATTTGACACATAACTGCAACAATGTTTTTTTTAAGACTCAGAAGGACTTGAAATTCCAAGTTTCAGACTTGGTGCTTGACTCTGACTTGACTGTCTTTGCTTGAGACTTGATTTTGTACTTGAGGATAAATTCTCGAGACTTATTTGAGACTTGGAAAACAATGACTTGGTACTACCTCTGCTGTTCACAACAAAATGCATTTAAGGGCAAAAAATGGATAGTGCCTGATAGATTCAGTGGCACTGAAAGATTGACACATAAAGATTGTCCTTCACATGGTTCTGAAATATTTGATCACTTTGGGATGTAAATTGTCTCACGTCAGACCAAAGAAACTGTTCAAACAGAACTATGAATAATGACTTTTTCCCACTTGTGTCAGTTCTCGTGCACTGCAGATGGCAACAAATGTAAATCTGTTCTTAGACCAGCCCCAGAAATGGATTTTAGCCCCTCGGACTCTCCAGATTTCTCAAAGTTTCTCCAAGATTTCACATGCACTGTGAACAATTTGCATGAAATAACTTCCTTTTCAACTCAGGTTTTGCCCTGCTGCCACACCTTATCCTGTTGAATTTGCTGCATATATTCTTTCAGACGCTTCTTTATTTTCGGTGACTTTATTTCCCCCGGCACCCAGAGTTCTCTGAACAGATAAAGGTCGGATAGGATGCCACTGTTTCTGCTTTATGGGAGGACGTGTTAGGCACTTTGAGGTTTTTCCAGAGCTGCTGAGACACGAAAAGAAAATAAATGAGACGGGAAAAAAATTGTGAGCAGCAAGGTGAAATGACTTTCTTGCATTTACATCCTTTTTTTCCCCTCCTGCCTCCCTACCTCAGCCTCACTTTTGTCACTTTCATATTTTGCTGAAAGGAAGCTGCAGGAAAAAATAATAATTTCAGGTGTCAGATGAAGACACAGAAAGACAGTTAGTATTGTTTGGTGTGTTTTGCAGCAGTATCTTGATAACTTGGTCAGACCTAATTRTTTTGTTTAAATTTAAATTAAGTTTAAATTTTAAATGTTTTTTTGTGGCTGGTGATAATTAGCTCAATAAAAGCAACATTTAACTGTGCTCTCCAAAGAACTACCTTGTATCATCTAAATTGGACAATCAGCCAATTTGGTACACTAGGCAAGAATTTAGGTGCTACCCCCTCATGCAATTTTTAAAATCTCACAGCCAGTTAACATTTACACATACCAAATTAAATAGTTTTGTCTTTGATATTATCTTTTTTTATCTTTAGAAACCAGGTTGTCCAATTCAATTAGTCAACAATATGATTAATTTGAACCAGAAGTCTACTTCATGCCTGCTGACATTTGGATTTACATAATGAAAGCAGAACACTGAAAACCAGATTTTAACTGGAAGTTTATAAGATCATAACTGTTACTTCTGTATTTATAATGTCTATAAACCACATTGAGGACCTCTTGACGGCATCATATGATACTTTTATCCCAAAACACCACATATTTCATGTAGTGACAACCCACAGAACGAGTTACCTTCATAAACCTGAGTAATGAGTGATTATTCTACAGACTAAATCAACTTTACTCTGACAAAAAGTTAGAAAATATTCCCTTAGATGGATGGCACCCTTAGCATTTGCCTATACTGCCTATGCCATGGGTTAGTTTAATATAATGCCATATGCAGTGTTTAGTTTATGGCTGAGAGTCAAGATGAGAGAAATGTTCTTTATAAAGTGTGTGAAGATTCCCACTTTAATATGCTTTCTTTAGACACACCTATTGATTTAGTGTTTTATTTTACTGTTATTGCAGTGATACTCCTGAACCATCTGTAACCTGCTGCTTTAAGAGGCCTAATGATCACAGTATTGACAGGCAGTGCGTTCGATATGCAGRTTAAGGGTTACCGCATGTAAGGAGCCACTTTATAGCAACAAAACGCTCGTATTGATTCCAGCGTGGAGTGTAGCTTTCATGATCAATGATTATGGATCTAAACTTCATCAATGCTTGTTTACTCCACAGATAGTGTTCATACTGTTTAAAGTGTCGACATTAGAGGCTTTGAAGCCTTTTGATTTCTGTTTAGTAATAAAATAACTGAGATTTCATCATCATTTCAGTTTGACAATTATTATGCTTTAAATGGGTACAACTGCACAGGACTTCAAACAATCACGTTAACAGAACAACCTTGTCAGAGCTCCTAATATTGCACAAGATTGCATAAAATGTTATGCAAAGTTTGACCAAAATAGTTATAACTTTAACATCTACGAGATTAAACTCTGGCATGAAACAAGTGCTTGATCTTTAATTAAATTATGTTTTTAGGTCATGTGATGATGTTTAAAGCAATTTGAGTTTCAAATATTAGCATCAAAGACTATGCTAATTATGTTAAAGTTCTTTTTTATTTTTAAACAGTTTTGATCCTCCCTAACTTTCCGAGTTTCCTTTAGCTGCCTTTTGGCTAAATCAGTTTTCTTTTCTTTTGCTTTTTCAGATAACATTCTGCTCCTTTCAGCCGCTATTCTGCTACTTTTAGCATATTTTTACACATTTTAGCTACTTTTACTTGAATTGACTTCAGCAACTTCCAGCAAAAATRTTTCAACAAGAAATATTCACACTGCATTTTCTTGGAAAYGCAAATTCTCTAGTTTCAGTATGCAGTTTGCTTGTGTTTTTCCTACAGTTTTTTAAGTATTTGAATCTGAACTGCACACATTTATTTGTCCAGTAGAGGGCACTATGGTCACACAGTTAAATATACATCTCAAGAACTGACTGAAAGTGCAAACACACACACACACACACACCATGTTGTCATTATCATTTCAATAAAATCACACTGAAACTGAAAAAAAGGAAGCTTTTTTGCATTCAATTACCTGCAATTAAACAGGAGTTGTAAAGAGTAAAAGCCAAACCATCAGTGTATTTTAATGTATTTTATCTTTTATATAAGGCAGGATTAGGAGATTTTATAGTGGCTGGAGTATTTGAATTCAAGCACCAACCGCCCTGTTCACATATTTATTATTCTGATGTCAGCTCAAGTCTCACCTCAGGGGGACACAGTCTTCCTCTTCAGCCTCTGCTCCTTTTCTTATCTGTGCTGCCTTTAATCCCGACTTGTCAAGTTTTCTCCTCAAAGCTTGTTTGCTTGGAAATGTCAGCCACGGTGAAAGAATTTTGTTGTTATGTAACACATTAATCTATGCTCTCCTGCTCTCCTCTTTTTTTTATTTATTTATTTTTGGTGCAAAGGCGTTTGTGTCTGAAAGAGGCTCTCTCTATTTGCATTTGCATCCTGAAAATACCTTCTCCAGATGCTTGGCCTAAAAATCCTCCTACTCTCTCGGATTAAACAGGTTGTATTTCTTTATCTGGGCAGAAATGCGCCAGTGGAGGCTTCTAGATAAACGTACAAGATTTAATGGCACATGGGTTGCATATAAAACACCTTTGGACCAATGCCCAGTGCACCTTTTCTAATCGACAGCACTGTAATTTTCAGGTTGTGGAATAATTTAAATGCTGGAAAGAGGCAGAAAGACAGATAATGACACATTAGGGGGTTAGTGCAGCAGCTCATGAAAATTTTAAAAGATATTTATGCTAAAAYGCAGGAAAATATGAAAATCACATTTCCTTCCACAGTTTCATTCATCCAGAATTTCCGCCAGAAATAGTTGTGGTGACCCTGCAGAGATTGAGGGTCAGTGATAAGTAAATGGGAAGTGAGCTGAGGAAGTCTGCGCGTTTGTGTGTGTGCACAATGGAGGAAGTACAGTAGGGGTGGTTGGTTTTTAAAGTGGGAGCCTGACTGGAGAGGAAACCTGAAAGGAGAGGTCTGCCAGGGACACACAGGGGTAAGAGCAGGAAAACAAAAACAGGATGACTCGCGGGCCACAGTGGAACATTCTGGACCAGAGATGGTGTTGACAGAGAAAGTGACAATTATAAACYGGAGTGTTGGCTTCACTCGTCCTCCTCAGTGAAATAGTGAAAGAAATAGAAGACAAACCAAAATAAATAAGTATTCTGCATCCTGCATCATCATCTTTAGCATCACTTTACTTAGTAATTGCAATCCCCCCCGGGGATCATTAAAGTATTCTGATTCTGATTTACATAGCACATTTAGAAACAACAGTGTTGGCCAAAGTGCTTCACAGACACAATACAATAAAACTAATAACAAGCTGAAAACAAATAAAAAGACACAAATTACAAATTMCAGAGGTAGCTCAAACTAACCTTGAATTAAAAGCCAATGTAAAAAAAGTGAGTTTTTAAGACAGATTTTAAGCTCATATGATCTTATTTTTGTCTCTCCGACAGCTGTGCAGTCTTTGAACAGTTTGAACGACCAGATCGCGAGCTTCATGGTGTCGGGTCCCAAGTCCCTGGAGCAGGAGGAGCAGGCCTATGCTCCTCCAGAGAAAGAGACTCTGCAGAAGTCCATGAACCTGATGAGGCACCTCCTGGTTGATGCTCAGGTACACAACAGTTTTGACTCCAACTTGTGCAGTTTTTATTAGCAAAATAGTAAAAATAAATAAAATAGGTTAACTTCAGCAAATTTCCAATTACAAATACACTTCTGGGCCCACATTTATCAAACTTCTTAGAATTACTCTTAAGAATGCTGTTAAAAATGGACTTAAGTGTAAAAAAAATCTTAGCTAAAAGCTGAGCCTAAAAGTCACTTCTCCTCACTTTAAGTAAAATGTAAGTCATTCATAAGTGTCAGTCTTAGAGCTGATTTACGACACTTTCCTGTGCCGCAAAGCTGATCCTGGATGACGTCGTTACAAAACCCCCAGCATGGACCAATCACTGGATCAGATTTCGTATTCAAGAATATTCTCTGAGAAATGTCAAGATAAAACTGAACTATTTGCATGCCCTCACCAGCTGATAGTTTAATATTTTTCTCCAAAGTCATACAAAAATATCTGTGTTTTAGTCCAACATTATGCGCACTGGTAATCGTTTTTTTTACTCTTTATTTTGAATTTCATAACTAAACCTGTTTTCCACACCTTATTTTATTATAAGTGCTCAGTGGTTAGCACCAACGCCTCACAGCAAGAAGGTCCTGGATTCSATCCCCGGTCCGGACCTGGGGTCTTTCTGTGCGGAGTTATCATGTTCTTCTTGTGCTTGGGTGGGTTTTCTCCAGGTACTCCGGTTTCCTCCACCCCCAAAAACATGTACAATAGGTTGCCTTCAGGCCCAGGCCTTCCTTGAAAAAGAGATCTGAGATCTCAAYGGGACTTGCCTGGTTAAATAATGTTAAAATAAAATAACAATAAAACTGAGAATCACTCACCAATGCACCAATGCTATACATAAAAAAACTGAGTACAAGTATCACATTTGCATACTTAACAATACCAAGTATTAGCTTGAGTTATTTTTTCTGTACGTGTGATCACAATATTGGATTTTCTTTATATCTAAAAGAACTTAAAAATATAAATTTTAGTTTTATGGAAAGTTTTACTGTTCTGACTTAAACCCATTTTAAAGAGTTTACTTGTTCATAGGTTTAAAAAAAAGCTTGAGAGAAGCTACGCTTAATCAGATAAATTGCTTAATCAGATAAATGTAAATAATGTGATTTTTGAAGAACAAAGGTCAGTGAGATAGTTTTATGTGTGAAGCGAACGGCAGAAAAAGCCTCGTGCGCCTCGACAACCTGCCGACTTGAATTCTAAGCATCCATCTCGTGCTTCATTTTTGCACCAGCGCGAGTTGTTTGTGAAGATATCGAATGCCGTTCCCGAGCTTTTCTTTCAAAGGGCCTCGGATGAGATGAAATATTGACTGCAATGGGGGGAGGTGAAACAACAAGGTTACACTTCAACAGAGTCTGTTGCCACTCTCAAAGAACAATCTATTGTTCTGGAAAACATTCTTACATTCTTACAGTTAACTTTGACTTTCCCCTTCACCCACAACAACAAAAGAAGAAAAAAAGTTTGGCTTTTTATTCATGTAATTTTTAATCAGGTGACCCCACTGCATTAAAACATAGATTTTCAGATTCAATTTTCCCTCTGGTAAGAAGCCGAAAGAGCCTTTGAAGAGTTGTGGACAGATTTGTGTGACAACTTTTTTTAATAAACAAATGAGCTTAGTCCTTATTATAATGTGTAAAAGAAAGCTGATGAGGTCATGATATTCTCGTTTTGTCCTCAGTTTTCTCTTCTTGTTACACTCTTGGTATGGCTGATTGCTTCATATAACCTTTGATGGGAAAGAGGAGGAKGAGGAGATGAGGGTCTGGATTGTTAAGAGCTCTAATTAGCAAAGGGAAGATGTATCCTGCTCTGGTGACAATGTGTGATTGAGTTGTTTGTGATTTTATACACGTGTGCTTGTTATATTAATTTGTCACCATGCCATTTCTATCCCAATTAATTTTGTGCTGCACAAGCTGCGGTTTATCGGATGTCAAATAGAAGTGGCGACGTTTAGCAGGTTTGCTCCGTATTTAGCTATTTTTTATAAGTAGGTGTATCAAAGCATAAAAAACAGAACATTTACCACACAGAGAGATAGTGTATCTACTTTGTGTTGATTCTCTGTCCACATCGTCTCTGAAGCAAAGTGTGTTATAGTCTGAAAGCCCATTAAAAATCAGCGGCATGCACAGACATGAGACATGCACAGACTATTGAGTGACTGTGGACTGACCCTGAACGCTCCTTAATTCTTTTTTTTTTTTCCCATTTTTTTAACTTTATCTTTTTCCTTCATTTTTCTTCCTCTCAAAAACAGGTTGCCAAGAGTCTGTCAGGTCATTTAGCTTTCCTGAGGTATTCTGTCAGCCGCCATTCTCATTCAAACATCCGTCTTTTTTTCCTTTCTTTTTTTGCCATTTTGCAGATAATGTGTCATCAGCCAACAGAATCAGTAGGTATTTCTCGCCATTTTGTTTTCGCAGATCCAGAGGCTCTGTGGAATATTAAGCAGCAGATGTGTCAATGAAGATTATAT